CTCACCTACACCAGCAGCTGTCCGATTTGCATCCAACCTAGATTGAATGAAAACAGTCAACTGACTGAAATCAACTCTGTATTTTAAAAAGTAAGTGATAAGGTATCACAGAGCACTGTCTAACTGAGTCTTGAATATCTCCAAGGATGGAGACTGCACAATCTCTCTGGGCAGCTTGTTCCAGTGTCTGATTAACTCAACATACAAGTAGTACCCACAAACCAAGCCCCTCGTTTTATCTGCTATTTAATCTAAATTCCCCATTCTCCCCCTTCTGTCCATTGCCTCTAACAACAGTCAAGAAAAAACTGCTACACCAAGATGATGTCTGACCACCTTAAAATCATACCACAGAATGGCTTAAGTTGGAGGGGATCTTAAAGGTCATCTAGTTCCAACCCTCTGCCATGGGCAGGGTTGCCAACCACTAGATCAGGTTTTCAGATATTTTATAAAGCTGAATATTCAAAGTACTTTGTTTTGCCTTGTAATTCTTGTAGATTACGCAAACATGAATGAAGTAACGCAGCAGTACCTGGACTGAGAAGCAGGAAGAGATACAGCTAAGGACTGAGCTGCAGATTCACTAGGCATCCTCTGGATCTTAGTATCTGCTGTCAGAGCCACACCTTAAAAAAAAACAGCACAGCAAAAGCAAAGACAACCATTAAAAAGAAAATTCAGGAAAATGTATTACATAACACATTTACTCACACACACACCTGTGTAAAAGGACATATCATGCACTTGTAATATTAAACACCATCATTCAGTGCTATTTTTCCAAAGGGGAGTCAAATCTACAGTAATTTTTAGTTTGGTCCAAATCCATTCCGTCATGATTCTACTACCTCCAGGGGCACACAATTTCTAGAGTAGAAAATAATATGATTCTGTCATCAGAAATGAAACAAACTTATCTAGTTACAGTTCTGCTTTTTATCCAGCCTCAACCATTGCGAACTCCAAACACCACAGAAACAATATTTTGACAAGTATTTGCTGCCTTGCCCTTTCAGCACTATTTATTTCTATACAGTCTCTACATAACTGTATAGTAATAAATACTATACTATAGATACCCTGCAGCAGTGCAGGACTATGAAAGATTTACTCCTAATGAGGAGAGCATTTCAGACTAAAGCTTGCAATCTCTACTCTCATCCTAAGAAGAGTAGGTTAATTCAGGAAAAACAACCAAACAAAAAAAAACAACCAAACACCCCAAACCATTTTTCAAAGTATATCTTTCAGTTCTCTGTTTCTTTCCCTAGCCAATGTTCTGGCAGTTGACCACAAAGATAATATCCGTGTCAGATGCCAAGGCTAAAACAAGAAACAACAACAAAAAACATTTCAGTTTAACTCTGACATATCTGATTCAAACACAGAATTTTACTCACCAGGCCCAGGTGGATATGGATGTGTGCCAGTTATCACATACTCCAGTTCTTCTCCTAAAGATCAACAAAATAATGCATTCAAACAAAAATTGAGTACAACAGAGTAGGTGATGCAAAGCAGTAGAAACAGAAGCAGAAGCAATTACTTCTAATGTATTACACTTACAAACCTCTTATTTACATTGATTTTATTTGTTCTGGTTATTTCAGATTTCTAGAGTTCAGTCTTTTAAAAACAGTAGCACCATTTGTTACCAAAAGGAACAATGTCCCATGAGAAAGAAGCTCATGCTGTCAAAGATGCTTTCTGAAAAAGATGGAAGAAGAGCCAACTACACAAGCATTATGATTGTCTGACACAAGCCACTCAAGGACAGTAAACTGTGCCTGACATTGGAAAAGAAAAACGCAAGCGAAAGTTTGTTTCTTTAAAATATTTTCCAGTCTCTCAATGTTTTTCAGTCACAGAATATTTTCAATAGAAGTGTTTTGTAAGATAAATCCTCAGCTAAAATAAAAAGTCAGTTGACATTCTCTAGAAGTTTCTATACAGATCAGCCCAATACATACTTATTTTATATAACCAAATCAGAGTGTTTTTCAACTAATGATTTTTCTGTTTTAATAGTTGCACAGTTAAAGGAAGTCTGAACAAATTAAATGAAACAAACAAAAATAAACAACAAAACGACATGTCCTCAACCATTTCTAATGGCTTTGTAATACCCAAATACAGCACACGCCAGCATTACCTTAAAACATGCTTGTTTTACTAATTAGTTAAGTCTCCTACTATTTCCTTGCGGAAACAAACTTTCTCCTTGTTTTGAATCTCTCAACTCTTGTGATGCTAGCAAGGAAAACACCAAAATTATTTTTATTTCCTTCTACATCCAACAGATTAACAATGCAACCTTCAGACAGAAGTCTAGTGAGACTATGACAAAACAAAGAACAAACACAGTACTAGGAATAACGAACCTTCATTTCCAGAATACTGTTTATGTCCATACGGATCCCCAGTGGCTGGGCCTCCTTTCTCTCTCATGTTTTCCTTAAGAGTAGGCATGTGCAACACTGAGCCGTACTCAGTACGCAGCTTGACTGCCATCTTTACTTTGTGGCTGTTGGAAGAACAGAGCACAATCCCCATCAAACCCTGCTATTAAGTTTTGAAATATTTTAAAACCAGGAAACACCTAATACAGCTAACATTACAATCTTCATGTTTTTTTTTTAATTCCCTTAACTGCTAATTGCACTAAACATCTGAACTTCCTACTTGGATAGAGCCACCACTAACAAAATACAACTCAGCCACAGTACTCACCTTTCATCATCTAATGGTACAGGCTTGGCATTATCAGCTACAAACATATCATGGGTTCTCTTCAAAGATCTGAACACAAGTGTGTGCACAGAGTGCTTCTGGACTTCCTAAAATAAAAGAAAGCATATTTAAATAAACTTAGCCATGCTCAAATGGAAAACTGAAATCTGAAAAATAAATTGAGTAGCAATTTCAGACTTACATATAACTCTGTTCACGTCAAAGAAAACACTGTTCCTCTTAGAAACCAAGAATTTAAGTCTGTTAGCTGTTTTAATTCAACATCTACTCAAAATAAAACCCACTTTCTCAGAAATGACAAGCCAGAAACTTTTTGCACTACCATCTATACAATATATGAATGTGTTTCTCTTTCATGTTTTCTAGATGTTGTTATACATAAACAACAAAGTACCTGATTCTGAAAACACTCGTTTACTGCACTACCTCCATAAAAATGAACAAAGGCGATTCTCAGTTGCTGCACAATGTTGCTCTATGTAAGCACAGTGCAATTTACTACAAGAAGTAATCTTGGGATCAAATAAGACAAAGCTTCTCATCCTTTCAAAATTATCTTTGTTACTAAAAGCAAATCATAGTTAATATCTCAGCCAGGGCCAAATGAGTGAAATTTACAGCTATTAACTTACACAGAATATTTACTTAGCATCACATAATTCAGGTTTTAATTCCTACCTTCCTCCCAGGGCACAAAAAAATAAATAAATCTAATCAGAATACGAGCCTCTTTGCTCAGTATACAAAACTGAAACTCTTTGTACTTGTTCTGCACGTCACAAATAGCAGCAACAAACTGTAAGCCACGTTAAGAACTTCTGGCTCCAGAATCATTCAGTTGCCAGGCCTCCATGCTCCATACACTGGGGTTTCCTCCACTGAGCTCTGCTTTCCTGCCCTGGATGCTGTTCGCCCACTCATCGACCCATTCTGCCACACTTTATACTCCCCTAACTCAGCAGGCCTGCACGAAGCTTTTTGCTCAGGAAGGTCCTGCAAAATCTAGATACCAAATTAAAAAAAAAAAAAAAAATGTAATAGGGCTAGGAAGCTAGGAATTCCATGCGACTGAAAAAAGCAGCAGGAATTATAGTAGCAAACAACTGCTTATCGCAACAGGAGCGGGTGGCCAGCAGGGACAGGGAGGTGATTGTTCCTCTCTATTCTGCTCTTGTGAGGCCCTATCTGGAGTACTGTGTCCAGATCTGGAGCCCCCACAACAAAAAAGACAGGGAACTGTTGGAGAGGGTCCAGATGAGAGCCACAAAGATGATCAGGGGACCGGAGCACCTCCCCTACAAAGACAGGCTGAGGGGGCTTGGCTTGTTCAGCCTGGAGAAAAGAAGGCTGCGGGGTGACCTCATTGCAGCCTTTCAGTACCTAAAGGGAGCCTACAAACAGGAGGGGAATCAACTCTTTGAAAGAGTAGATAACTGCAAGACAAGGGGAAATGGTTTTAAGTTAAAGGAGAGAAGATTTAGGTTGGACATCAGGGGGAAATTCTTTACAGAGAGAGCGGTGAGGTGATGGAACAGCTGCCCAGAGAGGTTGTGCATGCCCCGTGCCTGGAGGTGTTCAAGGCCAGATTGGATGGGACCCTGGGCAGCCTGGTCTAGCATTAAACGAGGAGATTGGTGGCCCTGCATGTGTCAGAGGGGTTGGAGATTCATGATCCTTGAGGTCCCTTCCAACCCTGGCCATTCTGTGATTCTGTAATACCTCCACAATTAGAGCTAAACATCCACAGATAGTTTTGGACGGTGATGACACTCTGCAAAAAGACTACTACACGGGGCAGCTACTCGGCATCTTATGTGCTCCTACCAACAGCATTTCAGAAACAGAAGAACCGAGCTGCCACAGGCCTTAGAGCCCGCGACCCCGCACCGCCGCCAGGAGACCAGCGACAGGCCCCGCCGGCCTCCCGCGAGCAGCAGGAGCGGCCCGGCCAGGCAGAGGCACGGCGCCGGACTGTCCCCACAACGACGCGGCGTGAAGAACCGCCAAGGGCCCGCCTACCCACCCCGCGAACCCCCGCCCGCCCTCACCTCCACCATGGCGCCGTCGCTCCCCGCTCCCCGCCGACAGCTATGGAGGCACTTCCGGCGCCTGCCTGTACCTCACCGGAAGTGACGCGCTGAGAAGGCGCCGGGCTGCGCGCCCCGAGGCGCTGTGGAGGTTGGAGCCCTGCGCGGGCTGCAGCCAGGGGTCCGCAACGCCAGAGGGCGATGTTGCGCTTGAGGAGGATCCCGGGCGCGCGGTGGGCGGGGACGTGCGGTGGGTTCGCCTGCCCACGTCACGTGACTGCGGTCGCTTTCTTTAACGTACAGCCTTGGCGCTTTTTTTTTTTTTTCCCCAAAGCCCTGTGGTTACTCTCTGTTTTGATAAGTGAGGATTCCCCTCAGAAATTTATTAGGGATGGAATCATATCCCTCGATGTCCTGGAAACGCTTTAGAAAATCAAAGGTCCAAGTTTATCTGTGTTACACATATGCATTATTTCATTTCCTAGCAGGTTAATTCTGAGTTGTTGTTAAACCGTGCCAACAATATTCACTAAAATATTCATTGTCTTTTTCAAATGCAGTTACTTGGTGTGTTCTTGCGTGTCAGCTCTAGCTGTAGTTCCAGGAAGAACACGCTTTGTCATTCCTTACACTAATGGAAAGATGGAAGGCGCGTTGCGTGCATTCCGGTGCTGCCTTAATGACCAAAGTAGTGCCCCCCCCGTACGTGTTTACAGATTTGCTAACTCCCAGAATATGCAGATAACGTTAATTCTCATTTACAAGAAACCTTTGAAATAATTTGTTACCGGTAAAGGGAAGGAAAGAGGACACCTGAGATGAACATCTCATTCTAGAGCAATCGTGTCACAGTATGACATGTACAATACCAGCGGGTTCAAAGGACGTTTCTACATCGACTGCTAACAACTGGATTCCATTCAAAATTACATTTACTGATAGCAGTCCAAGAAGGCCCTGTTCCCCCTCACCAAAACTACCTCTGGGACGTGTTCAGGCTGGAGGAGCCAACATACAAGGATGGGGTTTGTGTAAAGAGCGTTGCACCGTGGGCACATGATTTGGCAAAGCAAACCTGAGAGGCAGCACACAAAATTTCATTCTTAAAAACACACACACATACCTCTGCCAGTAAGTAGCTCTCCAGGACAAAAGCAGTGTACAAAGAAGTGTCCCGGAACACCATCGGGGCAGTGCTTTCTTTTCGTAGATCCTCATAGCAGATTTGTTGTAGTATCACCACTATGTGAATTCAGGAAGAACTTCTCATTAACCGTGTGAGCTAGGGAGGAAGTGAAGAAAACACAAGGAAAAAAGTGTTCTATTTGGAGAGAGAGCCTCCTTGACACCATTTTTAGAAGATTAAACCATATTCTTGGTTGTTCATAAGGCTTTATCCAGTCCTTACACACTCTCAGCCTAGCTGTAACAGTTGCAAGCATCAAAGCCTTGGCACAATAGGCATATGGTTCATTCATTGTGGTTCCTGGTAATTCCCTTGGGAGGCACAGCTGGCTAACCCTATTTGGGAAGCCAATGAAAGTGCTGGAGTGGGGAGAGTCAAAGGCTGAATTTATAAGGGAAATCCTATCAGAAGGCAGATGAAGCTGGGGAATTCCCAGGCCAAACACGCTCAGCATGGATACAGGCACCTTTGGCCACCACAGACCTAAGATCATTGAGTGCCTGAAGAAGGACAGCTAAAGTTGCTGCAGAATATGGTGGTGGTTTCAGAATAAATTCAAGACAAATATTGTTAAGATTTGTATGGACCAAGGGAGGATAATTTAATGGCAAGTTCCTGGTTCAGGCCTATTGGGACCCAAGTTAGATCTCCACTATTCCCCTACCTGTAAGCCTTGGACAAGAGGCTCAGCATTACTGTGCCTCTGCCTTATCCATGAAATGGTGGTGACTGAACTTTCTGCCAGGTACGGTGTGATGAAAATTGCATTTAAAGTTGAGGAGTGCCCAGAAACAGTAATAATGACAGGCATATGGTGTCTTGACTGGCACTTGACTGGCTCTTATATTTTCGTATAAATAACATGCTAATGACAACAGCTGTGGTCAGAGACAGGTTCCCCTACTTTGTATTCTTCCAAATCTAATAGTGTTAGGGATGTCGTCTTGCAAGGGATCAAATTCAGGATAGTAAGAGCTCCTTGAGCCATGGCCGATTCTGGGCCAAGCTGTTTAATGATTAAACTACTCAGGTTAAACTGTTTTCATATTTCGGGAATCTCCATAGTTTACCAGAACTCTGACAACAGCACAAATACAGGAAAAAGGCCTAAACCAAGCAATTTTAGCTATTTCTGTTTTTGTTTATCACAAAATTAACCCCTCCATCCATTTGGTCTCTGAAAAGGAAGCTCAACCCATTACTTGCTTCTGTTAATGTCTTCAGATATCAAAGAGATGTGTGCACACTTGAATAATTCACTATAACTCAGTTGTTTATAATTTATGATACATGAGAAATGCATAGGATATGCACACACTGACATGTTAAAACTATTTACATGAGAGCAGCAATATGCCATATTCTTAAAAAGCACCAGAAAGCATTTATTTCACTATTGATTACAAATAACCTCACGCCGTATTATTTTAAAATGCTACTGAAGATATTTTAACCACATAGTGCACAAGGGGGCTTATCAGCAATGAAAGTAAAGATAAAACGTCAATCCTCTATCAGTGTGAATTTTTACAATATTCATTGAAGTACTACATCCGCTTCCTCATGAGAAAAACCAATTTACTCAGATGTACTGTACTGAATGAGGCCAAAGGCTTGCGTATCTAACCACGTCCTATCAGACCTGCTTAGAAGACTGTGACATTCGGTATGAGATAAATTTAATTCAAATTTAATATGATATTTCTGAAACATTCAAATTTTCAGCGGATTAAAAACAAGCAAAGAGATGTCAGAGTCCCTGTTTGACAGCATTTCTTCTCTTTGGACATTCACCTGTTGAGCTGTTTTACAAGACTTGTGACTTTTGAGAATACGGTAATCTTGTGTAACCTGTGTAGGACGTACTTTTAAGGATTTAAATGTTTAGTCAATGCCAGAAGCCACAGAGGTCTCCGGGACACGCAGATAAGAGCTGTCCAGAGAAATTGCTCAACATCAACTGTATTCAGGCACACAGAGAAGAGAAAGGTTAAATATTAACAGAGCAATGATTGCTCTGAAGGGTTCATCCTATCACTATCAAGCTGAAAAATTGGCGTGGCCATGTGCATATATAGGTACATAGTGGATCTCACTCTGTCAGAGCTGCTGATGGGAGGTCAGCAAGCAGCTCAAGCAGGCAGCGCTATGAAGCTGCTCCTCCTGCTCCTGCTCTGCATCCCTGCCATTAAACCCCAGGCATCTGTTGAATATGATAATGAGGTTGTAATACTGATTAGAATTGATGAAAATAAGAGTGAGAATGATAAATTTTATTTAATCGTATGCATGGCTTACTTGGCTTGTGTGAGTTAGCTCAGTTAGAAAATGATACATGCATATTCTTCTATCACTCAAAGAAATAATCTTTCAGTTATTTCTTCATGTATATCTTAGTGTGCTACTCAATGTTTTGGTTTTGGATGTACTTTCTATTTCCTTTCTTTCTTTGTGCAAATGCAGAATGGAAATTGGTAAGATTAGTTATTTAGCTGAATGTATTTAAGGATATTTATTTAGTAATGCTGGCCAGTGATGTTTTAGACAATTCCTCCGTGTTGTGCAAAGGCATAGAAATGTGTATTTGTGTCCTGCCTAAAAGATGGGATTTTTTTTTTTCCTATGGATTCAGCAGACATTTTAAAAAAGAATGAATTTCTAAATTATAAATATGATTTATGTTTGAAAGGGAGAGATGATCACTGTTAAACCAAAAGGTAAGCAGCGAGGATCAGTCTAAAATAACAGTTTAACCTATATTTAAGTTTGCTTTGTGTAAAATATTTTAATGAGAAATTTTATTTATAGTTTTAGTATTTGTTTTTTTTATACTTCGAAAATCCCAGCCAAAATGAAGTAGGTCAAGGTGACCGGCAATGAGATTATTTTCTGTTGTAGGATGTGTTTACATGTTTGCATTGACTACTGGTGAGATTACCTTGCTTAGCCTTTTGCTTCCATTTTGTGATTTCCATGCTGCCTACATCTGGAACTCCTTGAAGTCTCTAATTCTTATCCCTGTCTGCTATTTGTAGCTAAGTCTTAATGGAATTGGAGGTGACTGAAGATTCTGACGCAGTTGTTCCATGATTCAAAAGGCTTCATTTCAACAGATGGCTTAGGCTCCTTGCTCAGCCTATTAGACTTCCAGGCTAAAGACGATGGAAGATTTTCAAAGAAGTGACGTGGTTAAGATGGCATTCTGTGTCTGTTGTCGGAGTAGTGGCCTCGCAGGGGCAGTGTTCTCTCCAGGACAGGCCTTAGCTGCAGAAGGGCTTCAGCCTAGGCTCAGAGATCTTTCTCTGCCCGGTTTTGCAGGAGGACGACACTCAGCTTGGTGTTCGAAGCCACCGACCCCTGGACAAGCGGCAGGAAGCAGCCCCCACACTCAGGCCCGTGGCACCCCCCATCTCTGGCACTGGGTACCAGCCCCGGCCCCCAAAGCGGGACAAGCAGGGCATGAAGAAGGAGCGGATCATCTACCCTGATGCTGGTGGCTGCAAGCATGCTCTTGAGGAGCTGGTAGGTGTCTGCCTGTTTTGCTGGAAGGGTGCTGAAGACAGCATTTTCTTTGCCAAGTGTAGGAATGGTATTGCATTTAAAGCAGCCCAATTCTGTGTCTTTCCACCTGAATTTGGCCGGGCTTCCACAGTGCTCAGCTTCTTGGGATTACCATTTGTTAATACAACATAAGCAGCCATTTCCTATGAGGGATACACATACCCAAGCTGTGGTAAAGCTCCTTGATTCTCTGAGGCTAGAGAAGAAAGGAATAGGTAACATGCACAGGCTCCATTTGTTCCTGACAGAATGTAGTCCTAGTGCAGGTTCTTTATTTCCAGGAACGTTTAATTGTGCAGAACAGCTAAAAGAATATATTAGATCCAAAAGTGTGACTTTGCCCAAGGGATTCAACAAAAAGATCCTCTGGGGGACTAAGCACTCTCTCCTCATCTGCAAACTGCAGCTTCGTTGTAGGTAATAGTTGTCTCAAGTCCTTACCTAAATGCTTAAATATGTGGTCAAATATTACTAACTACTCATTTTATATATATATATATATACTATATACATATATATAATGACTATAACTAAAGGTATAGCCATTTGCTGACTAGTTTAGAAACTTCTCTTTTTGTCTTGATCTTTATACACAACTCTTTTTATTTTTTTAAGGGAGTACTGTGTCCAACTGGGTGTGAACTGCAAACGACACTGCTAAAACAGGAAAAAACAGTGACATCAGTTCTGCGTGATCTAAAAGACAGAGTGGCCAAATTTTCTGACACCTCCACAACTATGTATCAATATGTGAATATGATAGATGATAAACTGGTAAAGACACAAAAACAGAGAAAAGGTATGCTATTATTATGAATCATTAATGTTAATAATACTACAGCTCCGCTGAAATAGGATTTCTATTATTATTTGCTTTATTTTACTTTATTATTTCACTTTAAAAGTTAAAAATATGTAATCATAAATCTTAAAAAAATTCCTTCGAGAGAGGCAAAGGAATGGATCCTATACTGAGCCAAGATTCAAATGAGGCCTCTGAATGTATGGGCTCCCCTTCTTTTACCTGTATTCCTAATTCTGTGATACTGTGATCCATCATCCATCCAACTCCTTTATGCCCAGCTCCTAGCTTGGCGGCATGGCTCCTTGTGAAGAAGTTATAGTTCTTTGGCAAGAACTAGTTCTTACAGCAACACCATTAAGTTTACTAGCTTGCCAAGAAAGAATCATTTTAGTACAAAGAAATAATTTTCCAGGCATCTCCATATTTATTTTTTTTTTACATTTGGGAAAAGCAAGCAAAATACAGGCATACCCTTCCTTCCCACTAAGAAAACAAGCAGATCTTCAGATTATGCTTATAGGTTGTTTTTCATTGTTTCATAACTGGAAAACATAGAAAACTAACCTACTTCTCATCTATTTGTTTTTTCTAGACAATGACATTATACTTTCTGAGTATAACACAGAAGTGGAATTGCATTATAACTACATAAAGGATAACCTGGACAATAACATCCCCTCTAGCCTCAGGGTCCTGCGTGCAGTTGTAGATTCTTTACACAAAAAGATACAGAAACTGGAGAATGCAATTGCAACCCAGACAGACTACTGCCGTTCCCCATGTGTTGCTTCCTGTAACATCCCGGTGGTTTCAGGCAGAGGTATTCATTTAACTATAATAACAACTCTTACTTCTTACCTTTATATCACTGTACAAGTTGATGGATGCACCATTCAACAGGTGTGACTGTTCTCTGAAACCCATAACAATGATTAAGATAGCAGAAAAGATAGATAATTATCCAATATGACAAAACCCTCTTACCTGATGTCTGGTCTTCAGGTTCACCTTCAGTAAGATGAAGGCGATACTTTTGTGACTCTCCTAGTTACATCCTTCATTTCTTTTTCAGTTATGAAAGATTCCTCTTTTACAAGCTTGTCTAATTCAAAAAGTCATTAATATATATATAGTCTTCAGTAGCTTGGCTTGAACTTTTAGAAATGCCTATCTGGAAATGTAGAACAATACAAGTATCCTGTCCTTTCTTCCTTGATTCTTCCAAATGGTGTACTATTAGATATTAAAATCAAAGCAGAATTAAATACCTCTTTAAAAGTGTTTCCTTGTAATCTGCAATTCAAGGAGTTCAGAGCTCTTTTAGTAACAGTCTCCGGTTTATTCTTGCAGAATGTGAGGATATTTACAGAAAGGGAGGCGAAACGTCTGAAATGTACATCATCCAGCCAGATCCTTTTACCAAGCCATACAGAGTATACTGTGACATGGAAACGGATAATGGAGGTTAGTGTGAAATAACAATGTCATTAAAATATTACTGTGAATACTAAAACAGAACAAATATACTAATAATTTTCAATTTATACAAACTAATATGGAGTTACAATTTTTGTAGTTATTTGAGAATTAAGTCTGACTCATTCAAAAGAGTCATGTTTGTCAGATACCCAGCAGGATATTGCTATAATGAAACTGTAAATGAATAAGTGTGAAGGGATGGGTAAATAAAAACATATCTTACTATAGCTAAAATTGTCAATGTAGTGGTGGACAGAAGTGGAAGATCTGGTTCTTATCTTACCCTGTTACTACATGCTATATAAAAAGACCTGAGGTGCTTCTTCACCTCCTGCTTCTTCTACATTTTCTCATGAAGCAAGTCACTGCTTCAGTGTGATTAAAAATGGCAATGCTGTACTCATAAGCAGTCTTGCTACAAAGAAGTCACTTGCTCCCTTCATCTTGAGATAATGGTAGAAAGGCTGTATCTTAAGACTTAAAGCTCCTTTCATAATTTATCCAATTAAGATTAGATTATTTAATCTAAGCCCTGTTGTTCCTGTAGGCTGGACTTTGATTCAGAATCGCCAGGATGGCAGTGTTAATTTTGGAAGACCGTGGGATGAATATAAGAAAGGATTTGGAAATGTTGCAAAGAGTGGAGGAAAGAAATACTGTGATACACCAGGTAAAATACTGAGCATGAAATGTGAACAGTGCTTAGTGAAACAATTTTCTTGTACTTCTTGAAGCTCTTTGAATTTTTGAAATTAACTTTGACAGACTTGCAGGCAAATCATAAAGCTGCCTTGAAGTATATTCTGAAATTGATTTCACCAAACTCTCCTTTGTTACTTCTCAGGTGAATATTGGCTTGGAAATGACAAAATCAGCCAACTTACCAAGATAGGACCCACAAAAGTTTTAATTGAAATGGAAGATTGGAATGGTGATAAAGTATCGGCTCTTTATGGAGGTTTCACCATACATAATGAAGGAAACAAATATCAACTTTCTGTTAGTAACTACAAAGGCAATGCAGGCAATGCTCTGATGGAAGGAGCTTCACAGTTGTTTGGAGAAAACAGGACAATGACAATTCACAATGGCATGTACTTCAGTACTTACGACAGAGACAATGATGGATGGTATGTACTTGCATTAGACATTTAAAAGAAATTTCCAGACTGTATGTGTCTGCTTAAAAAAACCCACAGTATTTCAACTAACTTGCTGTTAGTTTGCACAGCACTCTATAGTATCTTAAAATGTGTTTTCTTGCTGTAAGTTGCTAGCCAAGTGTTCATCCTGTTCTGATGCAGCTTAAGGCAGAATTGGCATAGCCAAAGAAGAGTTAAATCTACATTATGTTAGTGCTGCTCTTCCAAGTAAGGAAGAGGAATACTGAATTGTACTGATTCCCGGAATGAAGTTACCATAGACAGAATGTCATTCTGAATACAATATACTCATTATCAGAGGTTGATGGTGGTAGTGCTTAAGAGTATCATACAGAGATGAGTCCTGAGGGGAGAGACAGATTATGAAGGAATTGTATCAATTGTTATCAATTGGTAAACCATAATGTAATTCCCAAAGAGACGCAACTAAAATTTTAACTGTCTCTATAAGCAGCTTCACTTGCAGGTGCACAGCATAGCACATACTTGCAATAGTCAATCTTTCACAGGAAGTTCAGATAAGATTTTAAGTACTGGTTGTGGTTTGAAAATTTCAGTATAGGGACACGTACATACTCAGACCTATTTGCTTACATTCATCTATGACTCTTAACTCCTGTTTTTACTTCATCAGGTTAACTACAGATCCAAGAAAACAGTGCTCCAAAGAAGATGGTGGTGGATGGTGGTACAATCGATGCCATGCAGCCAACCCTAATGGCAGATACTATTGGGGAGGGACTTACACCTGGGATATGGCAAAACATGGTACAGATGATGGTATTGTATGGATGAACTGGAAGGGGTCATGGTATTCAATGAAGAAGATGAGCATGAAAATCAAGCCATACTTCCCAGATTAATCAATCAAAATGTATAGAATCGGGAATTTTCTTTTCATATTTGTACCTTTTTTTTTTTTTTGTATTGTATTCAGGCTTGTCTTTGCATGTGAGAACCAAATATGCAGGTCCTACCATATCATGACCTAAAGAGAAACATGATGACAACTGAAAATCAAAATCTGAACCATGAATATAAGCCATAAAGAGTATTTTGTTCATTTTTTCATTTGTTCACAAGACAAAAGTACTGGTCTAAAATAAGGCTTGAGGCAATAATATGTATAAAAATATAGCTACTTCACTCTTTTACAAAGAAGTTACATACCAGATCTGAACAGATCTGAACAGATTACTGTAAAATGTTTTCTAAAAATTAAATAAAGTCTTGAAAATCAAGTTTTCATCACAATTCTTAAGTATTTGTATGTAAACTGGGAAGAAGCAAACATCCCACCATAGAAAGGACTGCTTTCTTCTTTTATACCATAGAGGCACGGTAAACTACCTGTGTAACATATTGAGAAGGAATAGAGTTTAAAATCTAAAACCAAACCAAAACAAACAAAACAACAACAACAACAAAACCCACAACCCCCCCCAAACCAAACACGTCTGTAGGTCAACTGCCAGTTCAAATCCTATTTTCTGGAACAGAAAAGCCCTTTCCTGTAACCTAGCTTGCATACTGTGCCTCATGACATGATTTCCACCATCCCACGTTCTTTATGCTGTATCCTAGACAGTATTAGCAGACATGGCTTTTCACTTTGTCTTTCACTGAGTCACTGTTGTGGGACAAGAACAATTTGTGACTCTAATCATGATGTAGTTCTGGTTTAAAGGAAACATTAGAGAGCATCTTGTTCGAACTCTTGCTCAAATCAGGGCCAACTTCAAAATTAGATCAAGTTGCTGAGAGCCTTTTGCTAGTTTGCCATTGGCTATTTATGTGCAGGGGCACCCAAAATGGAGTATGACATCCTTGCTGGCATCAAGTACTGCATGTGGGACAGCAGAGAATTTCACAGACAGGCCCAGACCTTGCACCTTCTGAGGATTTAAAGCCCATCCTGTTTCTTGCAGATAGGTATGAATGAATCTGCCACCTGTCCTACTGCCCTCAGTGAGTCAGACGTCAACAGGAGATCATCAGTAAAGTGATAGAAGCTAACATTATTAGCTTTTTTCCCAGTTTGTCAGGTCACATGCCATTGCGTTATGCCAATATGTTGGCAAATGCATGTACCCCTGTGGCAGGACCTGAAAGGTCCACTACCTGCCTCCCCATGTAAATGCAAATTGGTCTTGTGATTCTTCAGCAACTGGAATACCGAAGAATGCATTTGCCAAATCTAGGACACAGTAGGTTTTAATCTCCCTACTTAATGTGTCAATTACGGAGGCAATATTGGGTACAGCTGCATGAACAGGTGGTGTGACCTTATTTAATTCTCTATAATCTACTGCCATTCTCCATGTGCCATCTGACTTTTGCACTGGCCATATAGGGGAATTATACAGGCTATGGACAATTCTTATAATCCCAACATTTTCTAATTCCTGCACAGTCCTTGATATTTCATCTTGCCCCCTTGGAGTCTATAATGCCTCCCCTTAGTAGTCCGGTGCGGTTCTGGCAGACGAATAGGCTCATGCTTCACATGGCCTCTCAATATTGCCTGCACTGCCCGGACACTAATGCACCTCTGTTGGAGTCTGAACTTTCCTACGGATGTCTGGAGAGCCAGACCCCATCAAATGTCAATGCCAAGATGTACCCTGAGACTGGGACAATAGACACTTTACACTCCTGGGGCAGAAGACACCCAACCCCATTTTCGACCACGTTTGGGTGACGGGAATGGTCTGTCCCACAAAACCACCAATCATTACTCTTTCTCCTTGAAATTTAGTTGGATCACCATAGACAACTGAAGTTTCTGTGCCTGTGTCCACCAATGCCATAACTCATGGTACATTTTTCCAGGACCAAAAATTGTCAGTTCAACATAGGGCCTCTGGTCTTGCCTGGAGGCCCTAGGTGCAGAGGAACTAACATCCCATCACACCATAAACCGTCCTATGGCCAGGTCTTTTTCTTCAGGTGACTTGGGCATCATAGCTCAAGTCACCTGAGGAGGCTTTTTCCTTCTATTAGGGACTATAAAGTCCTCTAAATTCCAAGTTCATGTTGGTATTTGTCGAATTATTTATACTACTAATCTTTTGGGAGTATTTTGAAATTTCTGATCTTTCATAGTTGTTTCCATAACTGAAGTCAAACATGATTAGCCTGCCGATTGATCTTGACAAAGGCCAACCCAGACCGTATTAGATAATTAAACATTTGTTTCTGGGACACCTGAATGGGGTGCCCATGGGGCAGCCTTCCTGGTCTTACGTGGGAGAACCTTGGCTCCTTCTACCACCCTAATATCACACCTTGTTCTTAGGTGCTGTTTCCCCCAGATCAGCTACCAGCTGGGCAGCCTGTTGGACAATGGCCTCGGAGATCACTAGGGGGTTCAACATGGAAGCTAATGTTCCATACAGGTGGGAAGGAGCCTGCTGTAAAATCAGGTCTCTCATGCCTGCTGAAAATTTTGCCAAGTCCAGGCTCTCAAACATTTCTTCATACATTGCTTCTCTCATGCCCAACTCACAAATTTGAAGATCCTCCGTGGAGGACCATAAACCTGTGTGCAATGGCATGTCGGTTTTATTAGGCCAAGTCACATGGCACACTGCCATCAACCAATCTGTTAATGAATGGTTTTCATCCTGGTGTTGAATGGCAGCGTATGATCTTTGTCTAAGCGTAGGGTGCGAGGTAATGGATGCCAACTTAGGAATTTCTGGTCCATTTACCACGACGCTTTCTGCCCCTGAGTCCCATAACCTTAAAAGCCACGCTGGTATGCTTTCTCTAAGCTCCTGTCAAAGTGGTTGAACTAAATCCATTAATTCAGTTGCTGTACAGGTTCAAGCTGTTATGTGCAAATGCATTTTGGCAGGGGGCCATTGATCAGGGGGCACCCCTGCTGGTCTATCTTGTACTTTTTTTGTTTTCTGAGGGCGGATCTCAAACGGATCCATCTCAGATGGAGCTTCAAGATCTTAACTAAAATCTTTGTTTTCTGAATCATCCAGGTCCATTGATTTAGGCGCCTGTGTACCTTCTAATGTAATGTTGCAGACCTGTTTTATCAGGAAAGTTAGGCTAGATTTCTTTTCTGTTAATGTGCCAAGTTTTTGTTCTAGTTTTTCCATACAATCTCAGAGCAGTTGGTCTTTATTTTCTAAGGTATTGTTTGATATTCCTGCTTGATTTAATGCATTTAATAATTGCCATGCCATGGTAGATGCTGCTAGCTGGTGCTCTTTTGTAATTAAGACATCATTATCTAATCCATGAAAATAATCTGTCATGCTGGATGGGGAGGAAATATTTCCAGTAATCCACAGGGGATCCCATTTCCCAAATATAAATGCAAGTTCACAGTAGGGTGATCCCAGAAATCCTGGGATATGTCCAGGGGTAATCTTATCTAGGGGGGTGATGTTCTCCCTCTTGACCCATTTAAAGACATTTCAAAGAAAGGACATTTCAGTATTTTAGTTTGGCTGGCTCACCAAATGTTACAGTTGGAAAGATTAATGCGGTGGAAAGGTGATACAGGAGTGCAACAGCAAAGGGACTAGCACTGATGGAATGGTGTTACAAAGGAAAAGGAAAGGTGCTCACCCATCTCCAAAGAGCTAGGCTTGCAGGAAAGACTCCACAAGGAAGAGATCTCCAACCAAAAATCCTGCCCCAGTGGCAGTCAGCCCTTCAGTGAGGTCTAAGAGAGGTGCAGCCAGGCTCCACCCCTTCTGGTCACACAGCTGAATTGCTTTCTCCTGAGCTCCCAGGGCTGAGCTGGTCCTTTCCCTGGGTGATCAATCAGTGGTTCAGGCCATAACGCAATGGTTACCATACACAGTGTAACCCTGACAGTCATGCTAATCATTTTGGTCCCTGTTCCCAATACATCTACTTATTTCATCTGAGTTGGACAAAGATCTCTGTATAGATCAAAATCTTCTGGCATCAGGGACACACTTCATATCTTCAGAATTTCTTTAGCTGACTATGATGGCCGTCTAGAAAGGAGATTTAAATCACTTTAACTATCTAAAATCTGGGTACTTCATTGAAACTAGTGATAGCCAGAAGAAGAGATTGTCTGAAAGACAGGAGCTGTCAACTCCAATAGGCAGGATCAACCTTCAGAGAGGACCTCCTTTCTGTACAAAGGAGGAGTCCTAGAAAGTAGATCTCATCTGAAACCTCTCTTGTTGATTTAGTCTCTGACATCCAGGAGGATGAGGAGATGTCATGGCAGTATCTCACCACATGACTGCAGATGTTCAGTATCCCCAAAGACAGGCTTCCACTGAGGCTAGAAAACTGGAACAGGTTGCATGAAGCAGCAATGACTTTTCGTAAAGCACAGAAACTTATCTGCATGGGGCTGTAATAAATATGTTGCACAGTGGCTGTACTTGAGAAGGCCTGAAAAGAAAAGGCTAAAAATGACATTTCTCAGTATTTGATGATATTTTTAAGTGACATGAATAATGCAGATTGGTGAAACTTTAGGCAAGGAAGTCCATCTATGCTTGTCTCTCAATAGAATTATGGAAAAAAATAAACAGAGTAAATATGCAATTTTATGTCATTAAGTGTAAAGATGAACACAGCATGTTCTTGTGCAATCGTGTAACTGATATAGCTGGTTTCCATACAAACCAGTTTTTATTAAAAAATCTCTACCACACCCAGCAAGTTGCTGATGTCAAAACCTTGCATGTAGACTAATCATTGCTTGACATGTGTGCCAAAAAACATACTAAAACCTTGAGTAAAGATAATATATTCACCTAGGTGCTCTTCATCTTGCTTTTACTGATTACTATCTAAGTCTTTTCATGGTTGCTAAAAAGTAATAGCTAATTTTTTAGGTAAATCTGGTTTTATCAATTTGCCTTGCTTTAGTGATAAGTTTTATGGCTTGATCTCTACCTCCATTTATGTCTTGCACTTGTGTAGAACAATGAGCTTGATGAGGATCTATTTTCAAACTTGATATTCTGCCTGGTGCTGCATATGTGATGTATCTGCTGAAATGCAGGCAGTACACTTTGTATGTCCTACTCTATACAGCGCAAACAGCAATAGCAAAATCTTCCAGGCCTTTTGTGGTCCTGACAATGAATAAGCCTGACAGAAAACAAACGGATTTTCAGTTCTAAAGAGGAAGTTGTAAGATTGGCATTTAAATATTACATGATTGTGAGAAAATTTGAGACAGAAAATTTGATAGAGGTGCCACTCACTTGAGATTTTTCTCCTCAGCTGAAGTAAGTAATTAAGTCTGGAAAATGTTATTAAGTTGGAGTTCAGGTTGTTGACTTGCTCCGAAGAGCACTATCACTTTGAATTATTTCTTCAGTAGATTGATGTTACTACTGTTGCCAAAAGGAGA